GACTTATCTAGAATTTAAATGTTTGGCCTCTGTGCGCTTCATAAAACCGTTTTTGAACGTAAATACAATGACATAGAGGAAATGAGACGCTCAACATTTGAATAGAGGGCACATCATTAATAACAGCCAACCTCAAATAGCTGATTAATGATTAGAGAGGCATGATCCCTGAATATCTTTATGATCATATAAAAGGCACAAAGTTCATACCATTTGTGTTACTAGGCAACTGAAGCAACTTAACGTTTGCTGTGAAGATAATGATATGAGATTGAAGAACAATTGGATGAGTTGTCATGGATGGCAGACTGTGAATAAAAGGGATAGAGCAGACAGTTTACGGTTTGCATTTATAATGGTGTTGTATTGTATAGCCTGAGGGGTTTTTATATATTTTCTGCTTAGGGTTCTCAGGCTGAAGGGTCCAAATGTCAAAATAACTGCTATGAAATGAACAGGTGGTGAGACCAGTTTTCATTAGCAGCTGGGACTGTGATATGCACCTATTCAAAAAAGGATACTGATGAAAGGATGAATGTCCTTGTCATGTCTCCTTGTTTTGTCATTTTGTATAATATTTAGATGCTTGAGTTTTCATTAGCAGCTGGGACTGTGATATGCACCTATTCAAAAAAGGATACTGATGAAAGGATGAATGTCAAGTTTATCGCTCCTTGTCATGTCAAGGTTTTTTTTTTTTTTGTATAATATTTAGATGCTTGATGACAGTTAGCGCAGTGTATATGGATTTGCATAGTGTCTATTTCAGTATTGATTTGTGACAATCTTTTGGTGAATTGATTTCTGCATTGTAAAAAATATATTTTGAAGTAAAAATGCTGAAAAAAAGGTCAAAGATTTACTTGATTGTTGTTGTTTTTGGGGGTTTACTTTTGTTATTACTGTTATTGCACCAACCCAGCTTTGCTATAGGGCTACACTGAAAAATGCTTATGATTCAGTCACATTTGCAGTCTTCCCAGCATAAACTGGGGCATAAATAATTGATATGGTTAAGTGTATCTCAATGAATTTATATTTTTATGAGAGTTGTTTGATGACTTTTTGTCACTGTGTTCTATCATTTTGTATTAATATACTGTCCTGGAACATTGCAGAGAATTCTTTGTGAAAGCCCATAACAGATTTTACTTTTACTTAGGGATGCACTGAAATGAAAATTCTTGGCCGAAGCCGAACAAAATGAAACACTGGGCCGAAGGCCAAATACAGAATACCGAACACGTTTTTTTCGCGTTTTTCCACATTTTTTTTTCACCATTGCATAAATTAAATTGCCAGAATGTGCTTTTTACTGTTTTGTCCTGCTTTTCAAATAAAAAAATCAATTACAAAACAACAATTTAAAAATATTTATGTAACACTGAACATTTTTTAAGATTCTAGCAGACATTATACCAACAAAGCACAATTTAACTTAAAATTAATAAGTTAGTAAAATAATATTTTTTGGCCATTTTTGAGACTTGAATCAGGCATGTATTTTTTACTGTACAAATAAAGGCAGCCTTGCTAAACAGAAGAGAATTCTTTTAAAACATTAGAATATATTACAGATCCCAATTTGAACACTTTGAATGTTATAATAACTGTATTAATAGAGCTGTTGTAATGTAATTATTATTAACATTATTATTTTATTTTTTATTTTCTTTTACAGAACAACAGTAAAATTACATTACTAACATTTATGAATGTTGATGGAGTTGTTGCTTTTTCTCAACTTTTATTTTGGCAGAAACCCGCAGGAAGATCTCAGTGCTTCTTTTTGTTGACAACAGCATGCAGATTTATAAATGATTCTCATTACGAATTTGGGAAGATGTTTGTCGCACGTATCACATTGTCACATGCCTTTAAAAAAATTCACAAAAATGTTACTGAGCAACTGACGAGTAACACGGTTTTAGCGCAGATTTTCCTCGCGCTATGGACTTTGAACCCTGGCGCCGCGAGCTCGTGCAGCGCTGTCAGAATACATGAAATTCTTGCGTGCATTAGAAAATATAACATTCTGCAGTTTACTTACTAATCGTTTGAGGCCATTTTCGCGATTTCAATAATCATACAGTAGCCTAACCACCAGCATCAGCCACCTCTTCTTCTCATCGGAGACATGTAATGCAGCACTAAACAGTCTCTCGCTGTCGGTGCTTCGTGCTTGTAATGATAGTTTTTCTCTGATAGTTTTAAATGCTTTCACACTGCCGACATGTTTGCTGCATTATTGCCTCTATTTGATCTCGTTAGTCATTGTTCGGTACATATTATTCGGCCGAACACCGAAAGAGATTTTTTTGCTATTTTCGGCCGAATCATTTCGGTTGCCGAACATTCGGTGCATCCCTACTTTTACTAGAGCGTTAAAGTTGAAGTATGAATCCCATAGGGTTAAAGCCAAAAGCCTACTTAACTTTCATTATGTCAGTGGGATTATATCTCTTTAGAGACCATGTTAATAGCATTTAGAAATGCATTAATATTAATTAAAACAATTAATTAAAATAATTAATAAAAAGCTCTTTAGTAGGCTACTGGCAGATGTTGGTTAAATGCCTCAGTAAAGGAAATTTGTGCTCTATTTTGGCAAGTGGCTGCAGTTTTTCCTCTTTCTTTTTTGTTAGCTGCCTTGCTCAGTTTAATGGGAATGGGTTGAGTAATGGAATAGAACAAGAGTTTTAACCCTGCAGTTCTCCTTCGGCAACATCAGTTAATCTTTTAGCAGTAAGCAGCATCTAGTGTCTCACAATAAGCTGAGCAGCCTCAGTCTGTGCTTTCTGTCCTCATTAGATCGAGGGCTGAAGAGCTGAGATCAACATGGGGCAGCTGCTGTCATGAATCAAGCTCTATTCATTAACACCAAACCTAATCAATTAGATTAGACAGGCTTTGGGTTGTTCAATAAGCAGTCTGCACAAGATATCAGAGAAACATGTCCTCTACCCCTCTGTGCTGCAGAAATCTGCAGTCTTTGAACTTTTTTGAAAGTGTGTTCTGTATACAGGATAACATTTCCTACTGATGAGACATAATGTGTATAGTTATTCCCGCCTAAAAATGAAATTCTTTCATGCTGTTCAAAGCTTATTGACTGTAAAGTGTAATGCATGACCGAGTCATGCACCCAATGTTTATGGTCATTTTTTTGGAATATCGAATTTTTATGTTTGGTTATATGCACTCTCCTATAATTGATACCTACATTAAAAACAACAAAAATGTAAAGTTATAATGATGTTTTTGTGTTGTCTATGCTGATTTTGGAGTTTATTTAAGCATCGTAAAATGTGTTTAATAGAGTTGATACTTTTATTCAGGGTCCATGAAATAGGGGTCGACCGATATGTGTTTTTCAAGGCCGATGCCGATACCGATTATTACAGATCAAGTAGACCGATAACCGATATTTTGAACCGATATATATGTCTGGTGTAAAAATTAAAATTAATATCAAAATTAAGAATAACAAGGGCTCTGACAAAAACTGCCTTCCCTGGTGTTGGTTGAGTGTAGTACTCCCACAGTAAACTCTTTATTTTAAACAAAGGGTTTACCATTAAAATTAAAACATGGAAGAAATAGCGTATTGTGTGATTATTCTTTTAAACAATATTGCAACTTAAGCAACGTCTGCTGCTGCCTTACCTTTGAGAGACAACTGACGTGTGATCACTGAAGCAGCTCCAGTTAGCAAGGCTTTTGGAGTGAGCATGAATTCTGCATTGATTGGTCTGACTCATGACTCCCAACAAATCAGATGAGCGGTGGGCGGAGACTGCTTTAGGCCACAGAGTGCTGAGTTCTGACAGGCTGCATCAGAGCCAAATAGCGCGTTTCAAAATTAAGTTATTTTATCGGCGAATCGGTTTTGAAAATGACCGATACCGATAATCATAAAAATGCTTAATATCGGCGCCGATAATCGGTCGACCCCTACCATGAAATTGAGAGTTAAGACATTTTATAATGTTAGAAAAGATTTACTTTTCCAATAAATGTGTTTTTTTTTTACTTTCTATTCATCATATAATCCTTAATAATTTATCATGGTTTCCACAAAAACTAAATTGTTTTTAACATTGATAATAAGAAAAATGTTTATGAGCATCATATCAGCATATTATAGTGATTTCTAAAGAATCATGTGACATTGAAAAGTGAAGTAATGGCTGCTGAAATATATTAAAATATATTAAACATTTTAAATTGTAAAAATAATTTTACAGGTTTACAGAATCGAATGATTGAATAAATGCAGCCTTTTTGAATGTAAGAAACCTTTTTTTTTTTTCTTTTTTTTTTGCATTTTTGTCTTTTAATTAGATAGGACAGTGTAGTGTGTGACAGGAAGCAATGTGGAAGAGAGAGAGGGGGTGAGATTGGGAAAGGTCCACAAGCTGGGATTCGAACTCGGGACGCCCGCAGTGCAACAGCGCTATATATCGGTGCACTGCCCACAGGGTTATTGGCGCTGACTAAAAAATGTATTTTTAAAAACATTTTACCAACCCCAAAATTTTGAACAGAATAGTGTATGTTACAAACATGCAAGAGACATGGGTAATATATAGAATTTTGTGAATGAAGGGCATTGTAAGGGAAATCTGTGGAGATATAACTTTGTTTTTTTTGCAGTCTTTTTAAAATGTTTTTAGTATATCCCTATTCAGCCTACACAGTTTCCTCTGGATCTTTGTGTGTGCGTCTGTGTGGGAGGATGTGGGCTTGTTTCAATAGGTCACACTACAATGTTTATATATTTTTCTATTGCTGTCTTGTTTTGTTTTGCCTTTAGAAAATCCTTACTGATAGCTATGATTACTCTTAGTCATAGATGTGAAACAAAATTGCATGCTGTTGGTATATTTCACAAACCCTGCATATTACTTGTTGTGTATATATTTTTTCTCTGTTACTGGAATACTAGGAACAAACGGTTCTGTGGAAGTGCTCCTGCTGATGTATTATCATTTCCTCAGTCCCTCTGACAGCTCATTGAAGTGCCTGCTTTCCTCCACTGCCATGGCTTCTACACCTCCACCTCTCATGAAGAAGCACAGTCAGACTGATCTTGTGAGTCGCCTCAAGTCCCGCAAGGTCCTGGGTGTCGGCGGGGAGGATGATGACGGAGAGGTGCACAGGTCAAAGGTAACTTCCCACTTGCCTGCATCTTTATATTTGACCTCAATAGCAGCTATTCATGAAAGAGAGTATTTTTTATTCATATCCAGTATAACAGTAACATGTCACGTCACTAACACTAATGATCACTAACGATTGCGTATATATATTGTGAGAGGGCCGTGTGTCACCGCGTCCCAAACGACTCAAAATAATAAACCACAAAGTTAACAAAACGATTCACTCCACTGTGCTGAGAGAGAGCGCTTATTCTCTGCTGTCTTCTTCACGTGCTATCGGAAACTTCCTATTTCCCGCTTATGAAGTCGTGAGCACTTCATGTGAGCGCTGCAGCAGTCTTAGGCCCACCCCAAATGCGTCATGACGCCCATCCCAAGCCAGTACTGATTAACATCCCACCCCTTCTGTGACCCATGGTTTGTCTGTATGTGTAGTCAGAGCCAGTGAGCATTTAAAGGATTTGCCACTGATGATTCAAACGCGAGTTTTGGGCAGTGTGGATTAATGTTAGCACTTGTTGTTTGTCATTTCTCTGATCACAAATGCAGACATGGTTTTATGTTTACGCTGCGCGATGCAACGCAACGCGTAAAAAGACAGTATAAGTCATTATAATCAGTAATTATGTCCCCACTGGATGCAACAAATGCCTTGTTTGTAATGGGTTTTAATGTTTTTGTCTGGTCGCTCCGGCCGGGACACGGCATCCAACAGTATTGTGAGGGGCGTAACATTTCCATCTCACACTTGAGGTATTCGGCCAATCACAACGCATTGGATAGCTGGCCAATCACAGCACACCTCGCTTTTTCAGACCGATGAGCTTTGTAAAAATCGACGTGTTTCAAAAAGGCGGGGCATAGAGGAGAAACAATAATGTACAGTATGTGGAAAATAATGTGTTTTTTTTACTTTAAACCGCATAAACACATTTCATTACACCAAATATACAAAATAATGTTCTTTTTAGCAGCATCATATGACCCCTTTAATATATTTCTGTTGAACGCAATTTATAAATGATAGAATACATTGCATACAGAGCTATTTTCCTTCATGGGAGGTGGGGTTACTTCACATGAACCACACATTTATTGTGCATTAGGGACACACCTGCTATGGGAGAGGTGGCTGACTAGATGAGTTGTGGCACAGTGTGGCACGCAGCTCGGCTGTAGGACACTAATTGGCCCCTCACACTCATCCTGAAGCCAGCGTGCAGTCACGTTACACTACCATGAATAACCCACAATGAGAGCTTATTGGCACGACTGCCCACCTCACGCTCAGTGCTATTAAAACTCATGGGGCTTTGAGGTAGACCACATGAAACATGGGCGCCACTCAGACATGGTCACCCCTCTCCGCCCCTGCATTGTGCATCAAACTCTGGGTAGGGTCACAGAGAAAGATCAAAGACAACATCCATTAAGGGGCAGTCGCCCATCACCCTCTGTTTCAACAGAGATGGCTCAGACAACACCATAATGGCTGGAGGTGTATGCATAAATGCAGCTCTCCATGAGCTTTTAAGGGATTCTGTAATAAAGGAATACTTCATCATAAAAGAATAGTTCATAATAAAGGAATAGTTTCTTCGTCTGAACAGACTTTCTCACCAACGGATCCTCTGCAGTGAATGGGTACTCCACCTTCATATTCGCGCGATTTTTTGCGCAGCTCGTCTGTGAACAACGGCTCTGTGTAGTTAATGCTGCTCAATGTGAAAGCACGCACGTGATGGAGATTTACTGCTGATTAAAGAACCGGCTTTCTGACAAGATGCGCGTTAAATATCGCATGCGATTTATCGTGCAGCCCTAATGGGTACCGCCACAATGGGAGTTCAAACAGCTGATAAAAACATCTACATGTAATCCACTTAACGTCTTGTGACTTGAAAAGCTGTGTTTATAAGGAGCAAATCCATCAAGATTTTTTAACTTTAAACTGTTGCTTCTGGCCAAAATACCAGTCCATAATTCATAATAACACTTCCTCCAGTGAAAAATCATTGTCCTGTCACATCAAAATCCACCACAATATTTGTTTACAACTGTTTTGGCTTCTAAACTGTGCTTTGTCTGTGCATATTTTTCTTCTGATTCAGACGAGACGACCTTTTCACTGGAGGAAGCAATATTATGGAGTACTCATTTGAAATTAAATTATTACAGAGGACTCATTTGAAATTAAAAACATCTTAATGATGAATTTGTTTATTACAAACATGCAGCTTTTCACTTCACAAGACGTTAATTGATGGACTGGAGTCATGAGGATTACTTGTGGATTATTGTGATGTTTTTATCAGCTGTTTGGACTCTCATTCTGATGGCACCCATTT